TTCCTAAATATACTCTTTCTTTGCAAATGTTTGTTTTTCCCTCACTTCATTTGTAAAGAGTTTCTTTCATCTTTCAATTCCATTTGCTTCTCTTAGATGTCTTTCATGATTATTCAAATACTCTTATCATCAGTGGTGGGCTGCTGCCAGTTCAGACTGGTTCAGGTGAAGTGGTAGTTCCGACGAACAGCTGGCCCCCACCCTATCTTGTCCCCACTCTATCTTGTCCTATATTTCCTTCTTTCTGGCTTAGCTGATTCGTGCAGCACAGCTGATTTCCACGCCTCCTCTGTTCTACTTACTGGGGTTGCCTTAGAAGGTAAGCAGCTGAGCATTAAATTGCTGTATTTTGAACGCTGTGCCCAAGTGTGTTAGGTGTGCATGAAGCGTGCATGCATGCACAAAGCGTGCTATCACCAAACTGGTTGTTAACCTGGTTGCAGCCCACCCCTGCTTATCATAGCTGTAAATTGCCCTGAGATTTCTCTGATTTTTTAAAAAAAACATTTTGCAACTTTACTGTGGATTATTTTAGCTTCACTTTTCTCTTGCCAGGAAAAATAGCACTACTGGAAGCTTCTGGCAGCTTGGTTTCCAGGTTCAATGAAGCTAACAAATTCTTCCATATCAAGATGACAGTGGTTCTCAATCTTCCCAATGCTGCGACCCTCTAATACAGTTCCTCATGTTGGGGTGACCCCCCCCCCAACCATAAAATTGGTGTCTCTGTTCCTAAGACCATCAAAAATATGTGTTTTACGATGGTCTTAGGCGATCCCTGTGAAAGGGTTGTTCGACCCCCAAAGGGGTCCCGACCCACAGGTTGAGAACCACTGCTGTAGGCTGATGAAGCTGGATAATTCACAAGTTTTAACAGCTAACAACTAATTTCAGTTCTATATAAGAAGTGATCTATAAAAAGATGCACAAATATAGCATTGTCCATGTAAAAGGCTTAAGATATTTTTTTTATCTGGCATTATGCATTTGCCTGCTCTACTATTCAAAGTTAACTGACTAAAGTATTCAACCCTGTGAACATAAAGTTTTCTTTTCCCATACACAAATATGCTGCACAACACAACTAGACATTTTCAGAGACAGCATTATTGTTTTTATCTGGGGAGTCATTGGCAGAAATAGGGAAAATGTGGAAGAACATTCCACTGTAATGCTTTCCATATGAGAATAAGTCTGCACTATATTATGTCAGCACTAGTAGCTATGATAATTTGTATAATCAAAAATGCCAAAAACAGACAATACTAGGAATGGTTCAAAATGCTGTCTGAGGTTTTCTTTTTCAAGCAATTCAAATTATAGTGATATAAGCTCTATTTAGAAAAGGCAGGAATTAGGATATGAGTGCCGTAAAATAGGCATAATGACAATCAGCTTTGCTTCAAGACTAAAAGAACATTTACAACCAAGATGAAACTGACAAGAAACTTCAGAACACATTTCTTCTTCAAAATGTGGCATTACCACTATATTTAGCTTTTATATTATTCATACTTACTGTATAAACCATAATTGCCTGAGTCATACAGGAAAGTTAATCATAAGCTGTGGTTAGCAAATCACAATGCCTAAAATCAGACATCACTAACAATCTATAACAGTCTTAGCAAGGAAGGGCAACTAAGCCTTTGCCTAGAAAGTCAATCACAGTCAATCACTCTCCCTCTCTCCCTCCCCCCTCTTCCTCCCTCCCTTGATCTGAAACTAATTCCTCTAGGAATGCATTTTGATTATCAGTGGCAGCTTTCCTCTTGTAAGCAACAGCATTTAAGGCAGCAAATTTCACTAGGACTGCAGCAAAGTGAAATAAATTTAAGTGTCTCAAGCCTGATACTTATCTAATTTTCCCCATCACATCCAAGCAGGTTAAACATCTCACACATTACAAGCACACTAATATCCTGTTGTAACATCTTTAATTGTACAGGATAGACATTTTGTCGTATTCTTTAAACAGTATTATATAACTAATAGGATTATTCCTCAAAGGAACAACACTGCTATAATGTATTTGAATTTTCATAGATTAATGTAGTTTTCCCAGTTTGTGCAATTGTTGTACTGGTGATTGATCCTGCCAATAACATAAAGTCTTTTTTTCACCCATGAATAATTTCACAAGTCTGTAAAGATGATCATTTTTTGTTTATTCAAGGGTGATGCTGGGATAGTTGTGATAATTCCTGCTCTTGGGATGTTTACAAATTCAAACTCCTTTCCAGCTACTGCAACTCTTTAGACTAGACTGAGTGAGTCCTGTGAAAGCCTTTCAGGAACGGACAGGAGGAGTTATGGAATTTAGGATTTATACTTGCAGAAGTATACATCTTGTGCTCTTTTAGATTCTAAGTAATAATACTGTTGTCTACTGTTTCAAAATATACAATATGAATGTAACATCATCTGTGCTACAGGATTACAGTGAAGGTCACTGAACTAGTTATCCTTTTTTAAAGCAGAGAACTACTAAATATATTTGTATATGTCCATAAAATTAAGACGGATTAACTTCAGTGCTTAAACATAAGCATTCAAAAGCTGTGAATTCTGAATGGCAGTTCATGGCAGTTCACTATTAAGAGAAATTGTGAAATATTTCTTATAATACAAGCTATATGAAATTATTTGGAAAAAATGTATCACCCTAACTTTTAAACCTATATTTTTGTTAAATATTCTCAGCACACATGGTTTCCTGTTTAAATATCTGCCAAAGTATTCAATGTATAATCTAAAATCAATGAACTGAATCAGTTTTTAGTGTCTAAAAATTTGTCACAAATGCAAATGGTAGAGATTAACCTAAAGGAGTGATGTAGCATTCTGCCATTTGCTATATTAATTATTGAAATTAGTAATATAAAAATATATTGCTATTATAAAGTTTCAGTTATGCCTAGAAAGAATAAAAGTGACACTTTTGTTTAAAAAAATACTGTACTTCCTAATTTTCTTATCTAAAACACACCTTTTGAGTTTCTAAGGAAAACAGGAGACTGAATCAACAAAAATACCTTCATGTTGCCTGTACAATAATTCTTGTAATGCAGGAAATTTTATTACCTGCCTTTGAAGTCATTTAGCTGGAAATAATTCCAATGAGATCTATATGTGTAATGCTTCTGTTTTAAAAGAAAAAAAATGTAATTTTGTCTAATAGATTTATCCAATTTGAAGAATAACTGCAACACTGTGGAAGGCTATTTTACTGAGTACCTTTTTTATTTCACCATTGAAGAAACTTCCTATTTACTCTTATTTTGCAAACAAACAAATATGAAACAGGTTTGGCAGGAAAATAGGATCTTAAAAATATCTTAAAATGGCATATAACTGTCAATAGAAAGTTATTTTTGAAATGATAAAAAGCAAAATGTCCTTGGCTCACTAGGACAGTGTCCCTGAAGAAGCAGTCACAGGAGTTATCTGAGTATACATGTAAGCTCCAGTTTGTCCAAAGAACAGTATTTAAGTAAATGCATAGCACTTTATGCATGAACCTTTTATGATTTACATAACTTTTAAAATTGTAACTATTTTGCAACATTTTCTAACACTACAGCAAACTAGACTATGTCCAGAAGCATTATCACATAACTTCAATATCGTGTTGTAAGTGATAAATAACACAAAGGCTTACACTATATATGGATATTTTGATGGGAAATATATATAGTGTGTGTATGTATGTGAATGTGTGTATGAGTGAATGAAATTAGATAAATTATTCTGGTCCTGAATCACAGGTATTGTACTAAGATTTCAATTCCCAAGTAAAATCTTGCAGCAGTGATTAATCTAATTGCATTCCTGGCGTAGCACAGCTGCTTCTCAACTACAGTAACAGAAGCCAAAGAAGCCACTAAAACTGCTTACACTATTGCTACTCAGCATAGAAACCACAAACCCATGAACTCAGGAAGTGGCCCAGAACTTTCAAACTTTCCATGTTGCAGCAAAAAGCACAGTATCAGTCAACACAGCTACTCCTTATTGGTCTCTGCAACTGAGATTTACAACTCTGTGTTGCTGGGAAAGACTTTAGAAGATGAACAACCTAAAAAAAGAGAATAATTTAGCACAATAATCCTAGTGATCAGCTTACTGCTTACAGACCAATTGACTAAATTTGAAGGGGAGGTTGAAAACAATGGGATAAAACAGTGAAGGATTCTGCAGCTTTCCCAACATTATTCCAATATTTTAATCTTGATGTACTCCACTATAAAATGCATGATATTCCATCAAAGCTTCTACTTTTTTCTACTTCCTGTTCAATCTACTCCTGATGAGCTTCTGATGTCCCTTCAACATTTTTTTAAAGGCTGTGTTCACATCCTACCAATGTTTAATGAGCAGTGATTGATTAGTATATATAATGTAGTTTTATAGAAGCTAGGGAGCCATAAACCAAGGACATTCACAAGGTTTGTCCAACACATTCAGCTACAATGTGGATGGCTCTCTTGTGACTCAGTACTTGTGCTATCCCACCAATATTTATGAATGAACATGATGGTTCATTGCATTGTGCAAAGTCAGTTAACCAAGCTTTGGTTAGCTATGGTACGTGCTAGCATCTTGTGGGACACACTAGCCTATTGTGCAACCACCGACCTCTCCCTTTTCGCACCTGACCTTGCCCTCTTTTGATGATTTTTGTCCATTGAAAAGCCTCCCCTGCATCTACTGTCATTCAAACGCAACACTTTCCCTGGTCAATTTCTCCCACTTTCACTGCTCCACTTTTCAAGATAACACTGAAGACAGGAAGGGGGTCACTAGATCTTGCAATCTTGTAATAAGACAAGCGCATAGCCAGATCTCAGGATATTAAACCCGGCTAAGTCTGGGCTATTAATAACCTCCTTGGCTATTTGGCAGCCTAAACGAGTCCAGAAGTGAAATCCTCCGACAGAGACGTGCAGCCGAAAGTGTGTGTGTGTGGAAGGAGGGGGGAGATTGTGCCTCCCACTCACCTGCGGGGGGCATCGTAATCGTCTCGTTGGCGTTGCTGGAGCCGACATTGTAGATGACCACGGCCGAGGCGTTTTGGGAGGCGGCGTGCCGAATCTTGTCCTTGTAAGTACAGTTCCCTTTAGGAACCAGGGCGATCCAGAGCTTGCCGGAGCCCGGCACGGCGAACCTAGCGTTGGGGTCGCAAGTTTGCCTGTCAGCGGCCGCCGAGGTCATGACCACCTGCCCCCAGACCTCGTTTTTGGGCGAGTGTTCCCCGTAGCGGCCACACTCCGTTTTTTCGCTACGCAGCTCGCTGCCGCCCCCGCTGGGATCCGGATAAGTGATGTTCACGAAGGCCGTGTACCATTCCTCTTTTTCGGCCACGGTGAAATCCAGGCAGAGCAGATGCACGAAACAAAAGGAAAGCAGCCATGTTGAAAGAGCCAGACTGCGGCACGCTTGTATCACAGACATTGCCATCTTCGGCGGCTCCTGCTCGCCCCCCCGTGCGCGTGTCTGCATGGGGGCGAGCGAGCGCGCGCGGGGAGGCGCGTGGGGACACTCGCCGCTCCCGCGCGAAGCCGTGCAAAGGTGGGCGAGCGCCTCTCACCTTTGCAACCCGAAGGCTGGCATTTCGCCTCTGCGGCGCGAATCGGGGCCCCGAGCCGTGGCCCGCCTGCCTCCCCCTCACGTCTCTTGCAGCCGCCGGCTGCTCAGGGAAGACGGGAGGCTTCGGCTGGCGCGCCTGGCCAAAAGAGCGCCTTTTCGGTCCCGGCGGGGCTTCTGGAAGAGAGAAGCGGCTTCTGCCTCCTCCTGCCAGGCGAAGGAAAAGCCCCGGGGAGACGGGCTCCGCGCGCTGCTCCGGCGATGTCGTGTCGACTTCTGCTCTTGACCTCTCCCATTCCTCCCCAGCCCTGCCCGGCTAGGTTTACGGCCGACTCTCGCCAGCGGAAATGTTTTGTTTGGGGGAGAGAAAAGGGGGGAGAGGAAGAGCTGGAAGGGGTCGTGCGCAGGAGGAGCTTGGATGTGATGTCAAGAGCTCCCGCAGCTCCGCTTCGGAGCCTGCTCGGTGCCGAAATAGTAGGGTCGACCTCTGCCGGTAGAGTGGGAGAAGGCAGGACCAAGACGCGCTAAGGCGGGAGGCGGCCGGCAAGGTGAGCCTTTGGAAGCGCCGAGGCTGCCCTGGCTCGAATCCGAGACAATTCCCGTCTCCACATTCCTGTCCCGATAGGCTCATACAGTGGCGTGGCTATATAGTGGAATCCTCAGGTGCTGAATGGTCAGGGCTGCTTGATAATCCTTTGCCATAATAATAATGACAACAGCAACAAACAACAAACAAACAAAAATAATAATAATAATAATAATAATAATAATAATAATAATAATAATAATAATAATAATAATAAT